CACAGGATTTTAATTGTCCTAGAAAGCATGTGGAGTTTGAAGGTTGTGCTTTGCATTGACACGTAGAAAACGTACCAGATCTTAAAAATTTTCTGGTAATAGCACAAATACTCTCTGGTGCAAAGCTGTATAAATAATGTATATGCTCACAGGAGCAGGAAATATGCTGCTGATCAGACAATGTCAACTTAGATGAATCCTGTCCTGAAAGCTGTACTTTAACTGTGAGCAATAAAAGCACTATTGACATGTGGCACTACCAAACGAAATGTCAATAGTTATAAAAAGAGTATTTCATAACACAGAATCATTGCTTGGTTTGCTTGACTGGACAGATGCTTCTATTTTCCATGAAAGTAAAATAATTTCCATATTAGTTCTCTGAATGCCCAGCACAGCTTCTCTGTCCCATTAATGCTCACACTCTTTTAATCACATGCTTGAAAATAAGGAAAATTTGCTTGTTGGTCTCATGTAGTGTAAGAGGGAGTTTTGACACTGGGTATGACTTGAAACAATTTAAATGTTGGCATAGATTTACAGCTTCTCTCAGGTTACTTTTGCTCAGTCTGGAAGTGGATGCAACACAAATTCCATGCATGGAGCATCCTCATCCCTTAGTTTAGACACTGTTTCCAGCATTTGTGGGCAGAAGGCACAACTTTGGCTGTCTTACACTTACATTTTTTTGGTTATTTTTTCAGTTTGTTCATTCAGTTTGTTAACATGTTAGAGCATGTGCTGCAAGCAGAGAAGAGAGAGAAGAGGCTGAAGTGCTGTTAATGCCCTGGGCACATGGAGTGGCAGAGGATCCACCGGGATATGCCCGTGGCATCTTGACTGTTAAACTGTTCCTCAGGAAAAGGCCTGAAAACCACCAGGTTCTTTCCTGGTGCTGCATCTGGCCAGACACATTTGTGAGGAAGATTCTGAGCCAGAAACCTTTCTCACTTCATCTCGTGCACTGCTCACTATTGCCATCCCTCCTGCCTGGCCACCCCTGGGGATTAAAGGAGGGCAGAAAGGGAAACCCAAGGATTAAAGAAATGGACAAAACCGTTCCCTAACTGGCATGGAACTGGCTGAGGATCTGAAGCCAGGAGTCGTTAGTCACAAATTTGCTGGGGGAAGCAAATGCTCCAAGCTGGGCTTGGAGCACTTTTATTATCTCTCCTTTTCCTTTCCTGTGGGAGTGCATGAAAACAGGGCATCCCTGTGGGCACTGCAATTCTTCTGCAAATGGCTGCATGCACCAAAGTTCGGGAAACGAACCCAATACTTTGTGAAACTCAGTTGTTGCCTGTAAAATTGACTAAAAACGGTAGGCTTTTCAGTGAAGTAAGAACTTTTCTAATACTACTGAGGTATTTTTCAGAAAGGGACCAAAGCACTTGCACAGTTCTGTCTGCTCTCAGCAGGCCTTCAGAAGGGCCAGGCCCTGTGCAGCTGCCAGCCAGGATCTCTGCAGCAGGCATTTGCTCTCATCTGTCACCAGCAGGACGTTGAGTTGTTAATGGAGCAGCTTCACCCGGGCTGTGCCTGTGCTATAGAACCCTACATCCAGCTGATAAGGAACAAAAGGACTGCTGAAGATTCCAAAGCATGTTGAATGTGTTTCACTTACAGCCAGCACGGTTCTCCCTGGGTCATTTCACAGGGAAAGGGGGTTCTTCAGAGAGCCTGTTCGTGCCAAAAAGTTATTATGTGGCAGTGGTCTTTAAACAAGGGTCTAACAATTGCTTCTTTGAGGATAACCAGTATCTTGCTGTTCTTTGTGCTACTGACAATCAACAGGAGGTTTATACACCATCCATTGGCCTTTCCTGGAAGGGATATATGGAACAATACAGTGGTTGGTAAGCAACACTGGCCAAAAATAACCTAGTAAGATTATGCATGAAAAAGGGAGTTCTAGCAGCTTTCAGACAATTCCTGCTTTCTGGCAGAACTCATGTTAGGATGCTGTGGAAAGATTGATCCTTCAAACCTGTATAGATGAGAATCTCTCTGAGATCAAACAGGGGCTCAGCAGTGGCAGTGTGATCAGCAATGCAACACCAATCACTTCATAACCTTTTTTTAGGTGTAGAGAAAAGGGGGATGCTACGAAGTCTAGTGCGATCTATTTCTTGATAACTTTGTAATCTTTTCATGGATCCATTTGCAGTTGTTGGCAGGTGATTAACTGGTGATAATCTCATCTTTCTAATCCCTTTACTGTACTGCTGTTACCTTCCATTGGGAAAAGCAGCAAATATGATATCCTTTCACAGGTGAAGGAAACTGGGTAAATCCAGTTGGCTAGACCTTTAAAATCTTTTGCTTCCTACAGCATACCTAGCTGATAATAATGACTTTGGACTTACCTTCCATCCAGATGAACCCCAAAACATTTTGTCAACTCATACTTCATTTCACCAGGTGCAGAACTGTAGCAGCTGTTTGGCAGAGCACAGCAAGCAGTTCAACAGTTGGGGATAGCAATGCACTTAATTGGGAGTTGTGGAGCAGTTTATAAAATGCCTTGATTAAGACGTATAGCTACAGGCCCTTGTGGCACAAAAGCTCACCTCCTCAGCAGGAGCTGAGGAAGGAATTTTGTCTGAAGCAAAATGGTTTGGTTGCAGGGTCAGCATGGCAGCAGTTTTAAATAGATGAAAAAGAGGCAACTTAATGAGGACAACCTCAGTTAGGTTCGTCTTCGACAGTGTGCTACTTGGAGGGCTAGAAATAAATGAAGACTAAAATACCACTAAGTCTAGAGGGGGAAATGTGTTAAGGAGCAATCATTTTCATTTTGTGGGTGTTGCACATATCAATTAGGAGCCACTTAAAAATTGATTGCCAACAGGGTGGACAGAATCGTGAATTGTGTTTTTAAAGATTATCCAGAGCTGCAGTTTTCCTGCATTTGGTTTTGGATGTATTTGGTAATCAAGGCTGTTGTGATTGCTGCACCTGCATGGTTTCACATGTGATTACTGTTAAGTAAGAAGCCAGAAAGGCAAAAGCACAGCTTCCTGATGCTTGGAACTTCTTGTGTGTTTTAAACTCTTGTCCCATCCCTAACGTGAGCTGGGAGCCGAATGCTTCACCTGGCATTAGGACATGTGGCTAGGTTGCAACTGGAGAAGGGCTTTGTTTTCAGTATCACCTGCCTTTTCCCATCTACCAGCAGCTGTTTTCACCTTCTCTGGGCAGGGTTTAACTCCTCAGAGGAGCTCTTTAAATGTTGAAAATAAATGAATTTTCTGTAGATGTTTGAAGCACTGAAAATCACTTGAACATTTCTCAGTGTTACTGCTACCTATTTGAATCAATTCAAGGTTTCTTAAACACTTTAAAGAACTTATTTCACTACAAGAGTATGAAGACTTCAGAAAAACAATTACAAATATGCATGATTATGTGAATTTATACTGAGTCTAAGCCCTTTTTTTAAGAGAAAACATATGTGGAAAACTAGCTCTAGGTCATCTTAACAAAGTGAAGAAGCTGTCTCTGCTAAAACTGAAAACATGGAAGCCCTGGATGATTTATTGAAATGTTCTTGTATCACATTTCCTTTCCAGTAAGTGAGTTTTCATCTCCGTGGGAGAATGCAGCATGCAGTCATTGCCCTGCCAAGAGGATTTGCATGTTGTGTTTGTAGCAGTGATAGAGCAGTGGGTAAATGCTGCACCTCATAGTGGTTTGACAGCTTCAGCTTCATAACAACCCTTTGTGGATATACCTCCTTCAGACAGGAGGTGACTACATGACACCTTTTTTGGTTTTGAGAGCCCTTTTTTCTTTTATGCTATGTAGGGAAGAAGGGTGGTAGTGACATCCTATATTTATTATTCAAATTGTACATTTTAGTTTTAAAATGCTTCCTGAACTAAGCCTAGCCATGCAGCTTCACTTAGGGAAGAATACAAAACATGACCCACCAGTCTGCAGAAATGCTCTCCACTTATGTTCCAAGTCAGAACAACATAAACATCTTGCTTTAATTAGTTGCATTTGAACTACTTCTGTTTGGGGATGTCCTTGAACAAGTAGTTAGGAGTAGTTATTGGTTCATCTTGGAAGCTGAATTTATTGCTTTGCTCAGTAGGTTTGAAAAGAGGTGGAGGTGGAGGTGGAGAGGTTTTCAGTGTTTTCTGTTTTGTGCTTAGAATACTCAATTAAACACTGGTTCCAGCACTACTAGTGCTAATAGCTACCATAGGTGTTTTCCCTTTCTCTGTTATCAATTTAACACCTTTCTGTTTTGCCCAGCAGGGTTGAAAAGGTTTCTAGAAACAGTTGTTTCCCTCCAATGGTTGTGGAGGCTTGTGGTTTAGGCTGCCAAGCTGCACACCTTCTGTATGAGTGCAACACACAACAGTGCCCGATAAGGTTGTACGATATGTTACCGCCTCTAACATTGATATGTCACCGTCTCTAACGTTGACATGTCACCATCTCTAATGTTGATATGTCACCATCTCTAACGTTGATATGTCACCGTCTCTAACATTGATATGTCACCGTCTCTAACGTTGATATGTCACCGTCTCTAACGTTGATATGTCACCATCTCTAACGTTGATATGTCACCGCCTCTAATGTTGATATGTCACCATCTCTAACGTTGATATGTCACTGTCTCTAACATTGATATGTCACCGTCTCTAACATTGATATGTCACCATCTCTAATGTTGATATGTCACCGTCTCTAATGTTGATATGTCACCATCTCTAACGTTGATATGTCACCGTCTCTAACGTTGATATGTCACCGTCTCTAATGTTGATATGTCACCGTCTCTAATGTTGATATGTCACCGTCTCTAATGTTGATATGTCACCGTCTCTAACGTTGATATGCCACCGTCTCTAATGTTGATATGTCACCGTCTCTAATGTTGATATGTCACCGTCTCTAATGTTGATATGTCACCGTCTCTAACGTTGACATGTCACCGTCTCTAATGCTCACAGTTCCTGCGTGGCTGCGCTCAGGCTGTGCCACAGCAGCCGGTGGTGCTCACGGCTCCCCAGGCGTGGTGGGCCTGGGGACGGGCACATCGAGGGCAGGGTGCGACCTCTGGGACTTGTTTTGCTGCGCTGTGCAGGGTCAGGAGCTCCCTCGTGCCCTCCTGCCCACTGTTCCTGGGTGGTGTCCCACCCGGGGGGAGAGCCGGGGTCAGGCCATGCAGCCGCTCTCCACGCTCAGAAAGCCACGTTTCCATCGTGCCACAAGGGCCCCGTGCTGAGCCCCCGAGAACGTGGGGTCTGGAGCCCCCAAGAACGTGGGGTCTGGAGCCCCCGAGAACGTGGGGTCTGGAGCCCCTGAGAACGTGGGGTCTGGAGCCCCCGAGAACGTGGGGTCTGGAGCCCCCGAGAACGTGGGGTCTGGAGCCCCCAGGCACGGGGCCGTGCCCGTGAGTGGTGCTCCTTCCACGGGCAGCAGCGGGGTCGGTGCCAGGCCCGGCTGTGCCCCTGGGACTCGCTGCTGTGTTCTGGAGCAGCGGCGGCTCAAAGGATGAACACACACTGTGCTGGGGTCTGCCTGCAGCCCACTGGTGAGTCTGGCCCACTGCTACATAGACTTCTGACACCTTCGGGAGGTCTGTGGGTACAGGAATTCAGTGCAAGCGGAGCTCTAGTTTCTCACTGCCGTGAAGAGCACGCAGGCTTGCAGTGTTTCACAGGCATTTATCAAAAGCTCAAGGAACAAGCACGATAGAGTACCAGCTTCTGGGAACTAGGAGGCACTCCCATCAGTCAAATGAAACCCTGCTGCACAAACAGCGAGAGCAATTGCCTGTCAAGTGTACTGTAATACTGAGCTAAGTGTTATTTGACTGGCACATTGTCTGTATGTTGTCACTGATACGGTGTCTGAACTTCAGTGAGACTTTCACTACTGCAGTAGTTTGGTAAATGGGGAGGAAATGGATTTTGGATGGAATGTTCATAATGAGGTCAAACTAAGAGAGAAAACTCCAGTGCGAATGGATGTGTTTACACATTCCAAAGTCAGCAGATGGCTTTAGGTGGGATATTGATAACAAATAATAGACTATTTTAGGTATGCTCTTCTCACTTATAATGTCTGATGACAAATCTTCCATAATTTTATGAAACAACCATTGTAAGGCATTTGTAAGAATGCAAAATCTATGTCATCTCCTTATTATTGGAGCCGTTTAGCACATCAGATGTCATTCCAGATTACCAGCTGCATTTCACTTGGACTGGAAACAAATACAGATCAGTAATAACGTAATGTTGTGTACCTTAAGGTTAAATGTCTGACAAGACAAGTAGTGCTAATGGACTGTGACATTTTTCAGGCCATCGGTCTGACATTACTTGCTGTGTCAGAGTAAAATGTTTACAAAGCTCTAACTCTGCATTACAATACATGAAGACATCATTCTTTTCTCCCGTGCTGCTCCAAGCTTTCTGGCTGCCTCTGAATTCCACAGTTGGCCCCTGTGTAAAAGCAGCATCTTCCAGGCTATGAAGAGCCCTGAGCACCACCGTTAGTGGTATTTGCTTCGGTCCAGAATGTCCTCTAAGCACATTGTAACTTTGCAACATGTGCTGCATAATGGATAAAACTCACAAACACAAACCCATCTGGGACCAGATCTGCCACTGTACATTTTGTGAGCAGTATCTCACTATACATGTGCTATTGGTAGGAATGGTTTAATGTAAATGAGGATGGTGAGTACAGATCAAAAGTTTTATGACAAAGGTATCTGCTAAATTTACACTACTGCACCAGATTAGCTCTTGGAATTTTTAATTTATTTTTTTTCAAATAAGGAAAATTTAAAACAGTATTTTGCATTAATGGGACTAGACTGATAAATGGTAAGTACACCTGGATCAAATCACATTTAAATAATATCATACTGTATTAGGAACTCTTTAAAGAAATAGGCAAGAATTAGCCATTCGGGGCTATTTAATAACAGATTGTTTCAGTGTCCTCATCTCATAAAGGCTTTCTAAATATAGGGCTTTGTTTCAAACATTAAGATGGTTCCTCTGGCTTGTGTTTATTTATTTTCCCTTGTCTTATTTCCATTAAATGCTTATACTTCTGATTAAATTAGATCAAATGTTATATTCTCTCCCCTTTTAAACAGCTTGTAATGCATCGGTGTTTTTTTTTTTTTTGTGGTTTTATATTTTGTGATGCTCTATTCCAGTGGCTAAGATGGTAATTGGAAAAAATATTGGCTTTGTTAATGCAGTTTTCAGCAGAGTGTGGGGTTTTTGAGCAGGTTGGATTATTTTTGTGTCTGTGTGTGTGTTGTCATGCACTGTCCCCCTTGCAGTGTGGATGTGTGCATATCCACGAATGCAAAACTTCACCTCGCAACCCGACAGTACAGTGACATCTGACGCTCCAGAACAGATGGCAGTAACTCCAGCAGTGGTGTGATGCTCCAGGTAAATCCTGAGAGAACACGAACCCATCACCGGGCAGATTTAAAACGTAAACGCCGCTCTGCTCGGTCGAGTCAGCGACTATTGAGCGTACAGCGCCGTGGGTTATTTTTTAGCTAAAACAACACTTGGAGATCCTTCCCGAGGGGTGGTGGCGGGGTTGGGGAAGTTGGGGCGCGGAGCGGGCACAGCGGGGCCGGAGCTGGAGGAGCTCTCGGGTGCTGCCGGAGCGCTGCTGCCTCTGCCGGCACCCGTGTTTGTGTCTGTGTTTGTGTCTGTGTCTGTGTCCCGGCCCGTGTCCGGCTCCGTGTCCGTGTCCCGGCGGCGGGAGCGGCCCCGCTCGGCACCTGCCGTGTGAGGGGAGGGCGGGCCCGGCCCGGGGCGGCGCCGCCCCCGCGCCCCGTGACGGCGCGGCCCGCCCGCCGCTGGGCCCGGCGGGGAGGGGAGCGGAGCGGGCCGGCGCTGCGAGCAGGGCGGGGGGCCGGGGCTGGCGCGGTGTCAGCGGGTCACATGGAGCCTCATATGCGGCGGGGGATGGCGGCGCGGCGCGGCTCCGCGCGGGCAGGCGGCGGCGGCTGCTGAGGCGGCCGCGGTGCTTCTCCGCGCCGAGGGCCCGTCCCGCCTCCCCTCCCCGCCTCCCCGCCCGCCGCGCTCCGCTCCGCTCCGTTCGCCCCCGACAAATGATGTGTGTTGTGCTCGCCGCGATGAAAGGTGAGTGCCGGCCGGGGAGCCGCGGGAGCGGCGGGGCGGGGGCAGCCCGAGCCCGGCCGGGGGCAGCCCGGCGGCGGCTCCGGGGCCTCGGCGCTCCCCGCGCCGCTGACACCGCTCGGCCCCGCGGCCAGGGGGGCTCGGGGGCGCTCGGAGGGACGGGGGGCTCGGCCCGCCCGGCTGTCGCGGAGTGGCAGAGCCCGAGTGCCCGCACGGCCCCGGCAGGGACGGGGCGCGATCGCCGCGGCTGGAGCGGCTCGGAGCGGGGAGGAGCCGGTTCGGTGTGTCTGCAAAGCCTGGAGGAAGAGGCGCTCCGCACAGGCTGGCTGTCTCTGGCGAACGGGTCTGTCTCTGGCGAACGTGCAGCATCCTGTGGGCAGCTGATGGGGTGAAGTGCCGTCGTCGCGGACAGCTGCTCATTTTTCAGAGGCTTTGGATTAAGAGGAAAGGCTAGAGCTACTTAGCGATTGGTTTCTTTTTTAAACCTTAAGTTTTGTCTGCCTGCCGGTTTGAGTCCTTAATGAGGGGCAGTGTCAGGCTGAGGAGAGTCAAACGAAGTTTTTGACGAGGTACCAAAAGTTTAGAGGTATGTTTGCAGTCTGCCCTGTGTTTTAATAAAACGAGATCCACCGTAGAACTTCGCATTGCAGCGTTTCTAAAGTCGTCGGGTTTTTTGTGTTAGTTTTGGTTACTGGGTTTGGATTTTTTTTATTTATTTGAAAAAAAGAAAACATCCTATTTACGTGCAATATTCTGTCACAGTAATCTAAAGAGTATAAGTGTTGGCATTTGAATTTAATGTCCCCACTAAAATACTGAATCTGTACCCTTTAAAATATTTAAATGGATTTTTAGGCAAAATTTCTCTTTAAAAAAATTAGTTACTTGGTAAAAGAATACTGAATCCTGCTTCAGCTAGAGACTGTTTCCTTTTTTTCCACCTAGCAAGAGCAGTAGGTACTGCACACCAGTAGCAGCATACTGTTTAAGGACAGTAATTTTCAATTACTAGGCTTCCTTTTCTTCTTGGAGAGAAGCCTGTGTGAATAAAAAGAAAAGCACTATATTCATTAATCATTAGCCATGCTGAATGTATTTGGCAAGAAAATGTAATTGGGTTGATTCAAATACTTGCATCTGTAACAAAAGGAAGTGCATTTTTTAAAGTGCAAACTACATGGATATTTTAGTAGTCCTTTAGAATTCTACATATTCTGATAAGAGTTTTTCAGCATACACCTCATAAGCCTGTTAGAACCCTGAAATCAAGTAAACAAATTTAAAAAGAAAAAGAAGGGGAGAAAGCGCACAAAAAATTTTGGAGAGTGTAATTGTGTTGTGTGCTTCTGGACAGAGAGTTAAGGTGTGTTGTAAAAGAGCAGGCAGATGATTTACAGCAATTCAACTTGGAAATATATTTTTTACTCTCTTGGGAGTTTCATTTAAACCAATTTCCGCACTGATGTAAAATCTTGGCAGAGCCCAGCTTTTGGGTTTTAAAATGTAATTCCTAGTGGCTTTATTATGGAAATGCTTTAGGTCTTTGTACTTTTTACAGACTACTCCTATAGTACATTTAAATCATGTTTCGTAATGTTGAGTTTTCTAGTGCATTGAAAAACTTTCCTGGTTTCTTATCCTTTGTCTAATTCGCTGGACAGGGTTCAGCTGGAGAAAATGTGTTGTCATTTGTCTTAAAAGGGCCTCTGACTGCCGTGAAATAATAGATCCACAGTCCAGCATTGTGATTTGAGAGAAGCAGAGTAGCAGTATAGGGAATGCAGTGTGTTAAGCTCAAAGGTGCAAGGGAAAAATGTGAAATGTGTAGGTGAATTGAGTATCTTATTTATTCTCTGTCCTGTAATGGCATCTGTTGGCACTTCTTGTCTTTTACAATTCTGAAGTTAAAGTGCAAAAAATTATGGTCTGCAGGAGGGTAAGGGATTTTCATGTTGGGTTTAATTTTCTCTTTTAAGTGAAAAAGGAGAGTATTATTTCCTTTCCTGTTGCTGTTCAGATAGCCCAAATTGGTACCACGTGAAGATAATTTGTGAGTTGTTTTATTTTTCCTGCAACACAATGTTCTGGCAAACATGCTTTCTTTGATTCTGGCAAGTCCTCAGACTGTGTCCAGGTTGGAATGAGTAAAGACTCTGGGCAGCATTCAGCACATCCAGAGCTGCTCTAGTACATTTGGAGCACTGGGAACAGCCCAGTCCAGGGAAGAGCCTGCACGGATCTTGAAGGCAGGCTGCGTGTTAAGAAATGCAACTTTCTGGTTTCGAGCAGAGAGGAAAGAGGGGGTTTTACCTCTCTGTTTCTAAGAAAACAGGCAGAGGTGAAGCATCAGAGTTTGTAATGACTAAATAAGTATTTTCTAGATTGATGGGCTTTAAAAAATTATTTC